CTGGCAGAGTTGTTCTCCCTTTTCTTTGTTTTGCAGCACGTCATCCCTTGGGGGCTTAAATAGCACGCCACACATCCGACGATTGCCGCTGGTAGAACAAGGAACGCCAAGCTGTACACGATTGCCAGGAGTTGGTCCCCGGGACAATTAAATTCCAGGTCCATGAGTTTTTCCAACCCGAGAAGGACGAAAAAAACGAGGGAGTTCTCCACAATGTTGAAGTTTTGTTTGATAAAGGAGGCGACGTTCGGCATTTTACCTTTTCCATTTGACGACATTGTGAGGAATGGATTCGGCTCCGCTCAGGGGGAACACTTTGGGTGTAGTGTCCGATGCAGAGTCGGGTTTCCTTCTGTCTGTTATAATCTGCTTTCACTTTTATGTATCTGTTAATCATTCAAGCAGGACCAATGAGGAATAGATAAGGGTGGAGCAGCGTAGAAAAAGATAAACAATGAAGAAGCTGTGCAAAGCAACCCAAACCCAAAAGTTTGATAGCTGTACCCGGCAGAATATATTATTGTCATCAGCACTTTTGTTTCCTTATTCAAGAGTAACTTTACACAGATCTTTGAAATGGCAACAGATTCACCTTTATAAATGTTTAATAATAACAATGATCTACAAACAGATACTTCTGGATATAATTCTTTGCATACCTTATGTTTCTGTTCTTCCCCATTCTTCTCACAGCGGCCATTTTTACTAAGGGCGGGTTACAAGATCTCCCTTTACTTCCTGGAACTCTGGCACATGTGACTAGGAAATGTGACCAATGTTCAAATGGGACCCATCGCACACTTGACCGGACAGAACCCTTAAGTATCTGGTGGGTTCCAAAGTGGCAGCAGATGCTTCCGCAGATCAATGTAAATGTAGAAAAGTCACTCGCTCGCCAGCTTGATTTCAGTCAATATTTATTGACCTCCTGTAGTGTCACATCATAGCTATGACGTGACACTACAGAGGTCAATAATTGAAATCAAGCTGGAGTGAGAGTGACTTTTCTACATAGGACATGTGACCAGGCACATCATCTCAGCGGAGGAAAATGCCTTTCTCTTACAGATGAGATTTCCCAGCAATGCTCTGCTGATGTAACCTACCCAGGATGCAACGCTTGGACACAGATTATCATTTGTGCCAAAGTGGACCAGGAAGTGGAAATAAAATAAATTGTAATTAAAATAAACATACAATATATTGTATTGGGACGCCTTTAAATGCACATGAACATAATGGCCCCCCTATTCTTCGTCCGTAGGGTTCAATATTGGGTTGGCTCCGCCCTAGGCCGCTATAACAGCTCCGCCTCTTCTGGGAAGGCGTCCACAAGGTTTAGGAGCGTGTCTATGGGAATGTTGGACCGTTTGTATGGTCAGGTACTGATGTTGGGGGATAGACAGTTGGTGACTTCTGCGCACCGTGCGCTTCAGCATGCGTTGACCCAGCTCGGTCATGTGACGTGGCCGACCACTTCCTGGCTGAGTTGCTGTTGTTCCCAGTTGCTTCCACTTTGTTACAATACTAGCAACAGTATTTAGTAGCAAGGAAATTTCACGGAACACCTGAATCCAATGATTGGGAGGGGGAGGGGCCCATACTTTTGGTAATATAGTGTATTTTTGTTTAGCTAACAAATGTAAGATGATTTCATACAGAGCTGTATAGTGATGTCATTTTTAGTCCATGGGGGTAGAGGTCCGCTTTAACCACCAAGAGCAAATATGAAGCAGATTCTATGGTGGGGCAGCAAACCTTTGCAGATAATAAATGAGTTACCGCCTCTCATCAGTAGATGGCGACATTGTATCTTTATTCTTTAAACAAGCGCCAGCGCATATCAATGATACATTGTACAGCAAATATAACCAGATGTGTTCCATGTTACCTTTTGAATCACCAATTAAAGTTTAGGAATCATGTGATCAGAACTTCCTGCAATTCAATATCTCTTCATTCGAACAGTCAGAGAGCTCAACTCACTCTGCATTCATTATATCACACAGTGAAAACAAATGGCAGTTTGCCTAAAGATACACTCCAGCCTTCAGTCTTCTATCTGACCTCTGTCCTCCCCTTCAGTCTTCTATCTGACCTCCGTCCTCCCCTTCAGTCTTCTATCTGACCTCCATCCTCCCCTTCAGTCTTCTATCTGACCTCCGTCCTTCCCTTCAGTCTTCTATCTGACCTCTGTCCTCCCCTTCAGTCTTCTATCTGACCTCCGTCCTTCCCTTCAGTCTTCTATCTGACCTCCGTCCTTCCCTTCAGTCTTCTATCTGACCTCCGTCCTTCCCTTCAGTCTTCTATCTGACCTCCGTCCTTCCCTTCAGTCTTCTATCTGACCTCCGTCCTTCCCTTCAGTCTTCTATCTGACCTCCATCCTTCCCTTCAGTCTTCTATCTGACCTCCCCTCCCTCCCCTTCAGTCTTCTATCTGACCTCCGTCCTCCCCTTCAGTCTTCTATCTGACCTCCGTCCTCCCCTTCAGTCTTCTATCTGACCTCTGGCCTCCCCTTCAGTCTTCTATCTGACCTCTGTCCTTCCCTTCAGCCTCAGTTGTACCGGCTCCTCTCCTCTTCCTCTGATGTCACTGCACACCGGGAACTTCTCACAATGTACATTAGACGCTGCAGCGAGTCAGATAGCGCTCCGCCTCCTTTCCTGGCTGCAGGATGTCCAGCATCATCGAACCCTTTCCTCCCCAGCCTGACTCCGCCCCTTTCATTCATTGGATCTCAGTTCTGGCAATTATGAAGGCTCAGCATCACATGAGGGTGTTATCTAGGGCAGTCTGCATGTAAATAGGTTTGTAAGGTGGTCCCCAACAGTCAGTGACAGCTGGGATTGAGAGCCACTGACCACACAAAGTAGAAGTGTCACCTCCTGGCTCTCAAAGGTCATTCATTTATTACGTGTCCCCAGCACAGGACATCCTACTGAATATTGTCACTTCCTGTAAACTGAACTAGCAAGCTATAACATCCTTCTGTAATCTACAAATCCCATAAGCCCTAATAAAATGGAGACAGAGGGAGGCAGACATGTTTGAAGAGACTGATGTGACTGTGGGGGGAGGGGACATTAGAGTGTAAGCTCCTCTGTACAGAGACTGATGTGACTGTGGGGGGGGGCGGACATTAGAGTGTAAGCTCCTCTTTACAGAGACTGATGTGACTGGCTGAGTGTTCTCTGTACAGCGCTGCGGTATATGTCAGAGCTATATCAATGTATAATAATATCAGATATTTGATGTGCAGGGGATATGATATGATTTGTGAATTGTTATACATTGTAACGTTTTCCATGAATAGTTACATGTGTTTGGTTTGTGGGATTCTTCTTATCTGTATTACACGGGGCCGATCTTTGGGGTGTCCCCTCGTGTTGGACTGTGAATTCCGGGTGTCGGGATGTTTGGGGTGTGGAGGATCTCCCAGGTAATTGTTTTGTGACGCAGTTGGGATCACGCCGAAAGTCATCTTCATTAATATTGGAAGTATCAATTATCTCTCTGTAATTATGGGATTTTCTTTTCTAATTGGAATGGGGCCCGATCGTCCTTGCCAAGCTCTGCGTTCCCCCGGGGCCCTTCACCAGAGTAAGGCGGCCATTTTTATCTCAGTGTGAGGATCTCACAGATACATCTCAACGGCAGACGGAAACTTCTAGAAATTGCTTTATCTGTGTCCCTTCCTTAATCCCCACCTGTGGGAACATCATCTGCTGCACGTCAGAGCTCGGACTCGGCAGCGTGACATCAATCAGAACTCCAACATGACAGGAAATTGTTTTATTACATATCAGTGAACTGCTGCATGTGCACACATGCTTTTCATGGTGGCTGGGTCCCTTTAAATCTACAGCCTGAGATCCACGTCTACAAAGTCCAATGAGAACCAAACAAATAATCTGGGGGGGGGGGCGGAGTCTTTTAATTTTTGCATTAATTCCAAGCAGATACAAAAATCATCCAACGCGTTTCGGGGCTCAAAGATCTTCCCGGTCTTTTGGGGTGAAACGTGTTTTGCTGACTTACTGATCCCGAAGTTCACATAGCAGAGTACTGGATCTGGTGAATGCGACACTTCTGATCCCCTCAAAGTACTGATACCATCTGAGCCCCCCGAAGAAGGGCGAGGATTTTGAGCCCCTGAAACGCATTGGCTGATTTTGTAGACAAGGTTTTTCTTGCCGTTGTTTATTTGACATCACGAGTCGGAGAGGTCGATAAGTTGGAAGTTTCGATAGAACACGGTCTGTATGTCATCAGGACAGGAAGTGAGATTCAATCTCCCCAGTGGGGACCCAAATAGGGATAAAAACCTGAGTGGGGATCCCGAACGTGAAACTTTAAAAAAGTAATTATTATCCCTTTTATTTTAGGCCTCTGGGGCTTTTTTGGGGGCGGGGGAAGGGGGGTTGGATAGGGTAAGAAAGAGCAAATATTTTAGTCGGGTTTAATTTCTGCCTTTGAGCTCAATGGGGAGATTTCTGTCACTTCCTGTCCTCCAAGTCATGGAGGGTGTGTGGTTGTCACCGAGACAGGAAGCTACAGGGAGAGCAATAAATACATTGTCACAATCTCTGACCCTCCCCCGCTCTATTAATAATGGGGTTTTGTCTCCATTGGGGGAGGGGGGAGGAAGTGACATCACTTCCTGTCCTGTACAGGCTCCTAAATCGGGTCCTGTTTGTGTTTTTCGTTTTGGGTTTCGGATTCGGATCGGATTCGTAATTCGGACGAATATCCTGAAATTTGGGGTTTTGCGAGAACGGACGAATGTTGGTACGCACGTACGTAGCAGAATTGGCGCAGTTGACATTTTTGGTTGCTGCGCTCTGGTCTTCACTATGAAAGGGACATTAAAATCCTTTTCTTAATTTTTTTTATCCGTTGAAACGTTGGCGGCGCACGCTCAGGAACATGGAGTAATGTTTTGTTTTTATCCTCACACGCTATGAAATCCTCTTTTTGTGCTCGTTATCGTTGTCATCGTTCTAGTTGTTGGCAGGGGGTGGGGTCAGCTTGGCGCTGATCACATCCTCCTTGTCCCTCATGTATTTGGGGATTCTCCGATCCAGGTACTCCCCGTCATGCTCCAGAGCGCACAGGAACTTCCTCTTCTCCTCGTCTTTCTCTTTCTGTGTTTCATCATTTTCCAGAATATTCTCCACATCGGCCAGCATCGCGTACGCACGCCGACTGTCCTCCAGGCACAGGCAGGTGCACTTCGATATGTAGTACCACAGCACGACAAACAGGGTGATGGCCAACATTCCGGAGGTCTGCGGAGAAGAAGACCAGAAAGGGTTAAAGGTCGGCTTTATCTACGGACCAGAACATCTGGACTGCATGATATGGCTGCAGAGGGGTGACAACACTTTACAGGGTGCCAGTGACCCGCCTCCTGTCCTCTGTATGGGTCAATGCAGAATACCACCAGTTATGCGGGACTACAAGTCCCAGCAATGCAAGAGTGAGGTTTCCCCACAGTAGATGTGTCTCCTCTCTTACAAGAATGAGGTTTCCCCACAGTATATGTGACTCCTCTCCTACAATTGTAAAGTTTCCCCACAGTAGATGTGTCTCTTCTCTTACAATAGTAAGGTTTCCCCCAGTAGATGTGTCCCCTCTCCTACAATAGTGAGGTTTCCCCATATCAGATGTATCTCCTCTCCTACAATAATGAGGTTTCCCCATAGTAGATGTGTCTCCTCTCTTACAATAGTGAGGTTTCCCCTACAGTAGATGTGTCTCCTCTCTTACAATAGTGAGGTTTCCCCTACAGTAGATGTGTCTCCTCTCTTACAATAGTGAGGTTTCCCCTACAGTAGATGTGTCTCCTCTCCTGCAATAGTGAGGTTTCCCCTACAGTAGATGTGTCTCCTCTCCTACAATAGTGAGGTTTCCCCTACAGTAGATGTGTCTCCTCTCCTGCAATTGTAAGGTTTCCCCATCGTATAGGTGTCTCCTCTCCTACAATAGTGAGATTGCCCACAGTAGATGGTGGAGTTTCCATTGGGTGGGGTGACACACAATCTTTTAGCTTAGGATTGGCCATAGCAAATTGGGAGATTTGCTACAAGGAAACAAGCAATCCCGCTGGAAAGACTTAGGGAATGGTACAACTGATAATGGGATTATCTCACTATTTGGGTTCTAAAAGATATTGTTCTACTTTTAATATCCAATCAATTTTATGGTGCATCGAATGAACCCCCTTACCTGAAATATGAATAAGTATAAGTCATGATCTAGCCGATAGTTGGAGACCACCACGACAAAGCAGGTCAGGTACCGTCCATCTGTCATCGCAATCAGGAGCCAAATCAGTGGAGCTTTTCCAACCTTCATGACAACGTAGATACAAGCCCAATTGCCAGACCAACACGGGCAGCATTGCTTCTTATTGAAGCCAGGGAAATGGTACAATCCCAGATAGATGAAGACGATGGCCGGACACAAGAAGAACGAGAGGCTGTAGATGGCTCCAAGAGCCAAGCTGTATGCGTTTGAAGGACATTGAAAGCTGGAGTCTAAAATTGCTTGTATTCCAATAAGAGAGAAGGTCAGCAAGGCCGTATCCACGATTTTGGTACCGGCGCCGGAGTATGATCCGAATGCATCAGCTATGGTCATTTTGATCCAGTGGTTAGCTTGGAAAGTGCTACTGGTATATATTCACCACGGGAGCGCCGCGTCTCTCTGTACGTCTGGAGACTTTAGGACCTGCCAGGGGAGCAGTATGGAGAAGTCTTTGCCTGAGGTGCAGAAGGTTCTGATCCTATATAAAGGAGATCAACGTTGGATCAGAAAGGCCTCCTTTTTTTTTATTGCTTGGGAAATTGTCATGAGCTGATATCTGATCGTGCTTGTTAAGCTCATTTACCTACTGGAAAAACTGGCCCGACATGCCACAAGGGTGACACAATGTACAACGGCATCACAAATTTTCCTGGAATCAGAAAAATCTGGCGCTGCCAGCAAGGATATAAATCATTTCTTCACATTGGGTTCATCGGCACCAGTAAGCACCAGTTTGAAGTGACACGGAGACCACATCTCTCTAGTGAAAACAGCTGAATATTACTTATCAATCGGAGCGCCAGGAATCCAGGGAATCACGCGGAGAGTATGAATGGTGCTTGGAATTCCCTCTTTAATAGCTGCTTGTTATAAATTGCATTTTGAGTTGTTTTGGTGTAAAAATCCAAGTGCAAGAATTTTAAGGGTCATTATTTGGTTGGGAACACAATGCCTGGGCAATATTGACATGCACAGCATCTCGCCTATGTTAAGCTGAAACACCCTCATGCTTTCATGTTTCTGCTCCTGCCCCTTCAATGACAAGGCAAACAGACCTTTGCTTCAACAGAGAGTCAGCCCCCCAAAACTTTTTTAGTGATGGTATATTCTGAAGTGTTTAACCCCCTGAGAGTTTCTGCTATCTATTGGTGAGATCCCTGTGCTGAGTTCCTGGGTCTGCAGACCTGCTGTGCCCATTATGAGGGGTTTCCAGCAGTGGTATCACAAGGAGGGTGCGGGGGTGCAGCCCGCACCCGGGTGGCACCATTGGAGGGGTGACACCAAAATGACTGAAAGTCATTTTGGTGTCACCCCCTCTAAAAGGTCAGGCACTCGGTTATGGGCCGAGAGCCCGACAGTGTCAAGAGAGAGGTGGGGACCCATCCAGAAAGACCATCCAGAAAGGCCATCCAGAAAATCCATCCAGAAAGGCCATCCAGAAAATCCATCCAGAAAGTTCATCCAGAAAGACCATCCAGAAAATACATCCAGAATGACCATCCAGAAAGACCATCCAGAAAATTCATCCATAAAGACCATCTAGAATTCTATGTGAACCTAAGTGCCATCTGGTGGGGAAAAGCAGTATTGCTGTTTCCAGCTTTTCTGTATTCGATATTCATTTTAGTAACACGTACTATACAAAAGACAATTTTCTCAATTCATAAATCAGTTACTTCATAATTATATGGCTTTACTGTGCAGGTTATTGCTTTGTGGTAGATGCTGTTTTTTATCTATTGATGCAACGTTTACATGCTGCTTCTCCTAAGTCAGCAGTAGGTTCACCTCCCTCCACTAGGTCACCTTCATTTTAAATATCTTGTATCCTGATAATATTCTGAAATATTCCCATCTGTATCCATTATATATATATATATCCCACAGCTACCTCATGTATCATTTCCCCCTCCCAATCTTTTAGATTGTAAGCCCTCAGGGGCCGGGCCCTCCTTACCATCTTGTCTTGAATTGTATTGTAACTGTAATGTCTTCCTTGTATTGTAAAGCGCTGCGCAAACTGTTGGCGCTCTATAAATACTATGTAATAATAACAATAATAATAATATATATATACAAAACCTCTTTGAGAGAAATCAGCTTTTATAATAGTTAAAATAACATATATAAAATGTATACCTTAAAAGTCTTTTTGTATAGTGATGGAAGAAACAATGGAGGCGTTTTGGCTTCTGTACATTCCACTGTGCTTGTCTTGGATACAAGTGTCCCTTCTGTGCGGGACATTTAGGAATGTGCACACGAAGCACTTCATTAAAGTGACACTAAATTTAGGAGTTTTTAAACCTTAAAAATGCACTAAAGTCCCTGAATTCTGAAAAACAATGTATCTTATTTGTGTATCACTCAGCTGCAGATCCTCCAATCATCTCTGAATTGGTGCTGACACTGTCCTTCCTTCTGGAGGGGGGCTACGTCTGTTCCCCATGGTCCCTGTGTGTGTTGTAAAGTAGTCACCACTCCAAGCTCGCTCCCGGGATGGACTACAATCTCATGTTGAGATTACTGATTTGTATTGAGATTGTAGTCCATCCCGGGAGCGAGCTTGGAGCGGTGACTACTTTACCACACACACAGGGACCACGGGGAACAAAAGTAGCCACCCAACATTATTGACATACAGTAGGTGAGCAGGACCAGGCCAAAACTAGCTTACAGTCTAAGAGGAAGGGGACCGAAGACACAGCTTCTTTTAATCATTGTTATTCTTTATCAGCGTTGTGTCAACAGGTCAGGGAGTGAGGGGAAATCTCGCTTATGGTGCTCCGGATAGCAGGAAAAACCCAACACGGGTTCTGACCCTGCCCCCCCCCAAAAAATAATTGTTTGTTCTCCAAGGCGTGTACATGCAACACATTGACGGGCGACGTCTTAGTACTAGTTACCCTCGCTGCGTTTTCCTGCTCGATAATGCATTTCATGTAGAAATCTTGTTTGTTATTATGTTGCTGTTCACAATTACGCAAGACGTCTTACGCAACACATCGGGATGCACCAATGCTGAGTACTCGCCAAAATGCTCCGATACTTACCCCAATACTGGAACTTCCAATCAGGGGGCTATACCCTCTGACCAGCAGTGCCATGGGGGAGCATGGAGCCGGCTTCCCAACCAACCAGGAAGCCTGGAGGTAAGTCATGATCCGCCTCCCAGTTTCCTGATTGGCTAGGAAGCCGGCTTTCAGTTGCTGCTAGGCAGCCTGGATTCCTAACCAAACAGGAAGTTGGGCGGCACGTCATGACCTGCCTCCCGGGTTCCTAATTGGGTAGGAAGCTGGTTTCGTACTGTTTAGTCACACTGCAAGGCAGTTTGGCTTCCTGACCAATCAGGAAGTCGGGCGGCATGTCATGACCCCCTGCTCGGCTTCCTGATTGGTCAGGAAGCCAGGCTGCCTTGCAGTGTCACTAGAAAGTGTAAAGCCAGTGTTCTGTCGAAAGCTCCAACTCCTCGAGTTCTCCCACTGCCTGACTTCCGGTTTAGTTAGAAGTAAGAGGTTTGGGCGAGAAGGCGGTACTGCACGTGTGCCACCCGCGGCATTTCCCTATGCACATACTACATGGCAATAAAGTATTAACATTAACTAGGGTCACGCTAACTAAACGAACTAAACCGGAAGTCAGATATTTGGAGGACTCGAGGAGGTGGAGCTTTTCGAAAGAACACCGGTATTCTTTTGATAGAACACCGGCTACCTGATAAGCCAGGCCCACGGTACCTCGGGATGCCGGTATCGGTATTCGGTATCGGCAAGTACGGGGCATAAAAATATCAGTACTTGATCCCGAAAAAACGGTATTGGTGCATCTCTACAGCTTGCAATACCTGATGGGGCTTGCAACTGTGACTGACGGTTGGCTACCGCTGGCTTAGTGTTCTTTTTAATTAGGACACTTAGCACTTTCTGTGCGGTTATGAACATTACGCTGAGCTACTGAAATGAAATATAACTCTACAAGAACGCATGCATTGCGCACTTTTGTGCCTTTTTACCATGAGAACCTCTAATATATTTCCCCTTCGCTTTGTACAATGAGCCAATAAAACAATATTCATCGACAATAACACAGACACACACATGCAGCAACACATGTACAGAACATGGGAGGGGGGACCTTCGAGTATCTTCAGGGTGACCAGGAGTTCTCTCCCCATGTATGCCGACAGTTCTTCATTGCATTCCGATCACCTGCCGCAGAGCAGATTGATGACACACGATCAATGACACGAGATCAGGTGAGCGCCACCTATCATTTCTGCTACCGGCGTCGCACATTCATGCATAATGTATAGTTAGGAGTGACAATTAATGAATTGTAATTCAGAGAGATTCAGGATCTGACCGGATGCTGCAGGGTGACATTTAGCTGTAACAAGACTTCACATGGCCAGAGATGTAATACACCCGGAATGCAACAAAGTACCGAGTTCATGGAGGTTTCCGTACATAGCGATCAACTACATGTTTTCTATTCCGGATTACGGATGAAATATGTCCTTAGGTATTGTCCATCCCTCGTCTAATTTTGTACCTCGTCTCTTACAATGCCTGTAAACTATTTGTAAACTATTTGCACGCAGCTGAAGTCATGTGTATAGGTCTATAGTTCCCCAGCGTTAGTTTTTTTTGCCTTCTTAAAGCTGAACTCCGGGGGGGCAAACAGCTAAATACACATGAAGGGGGCTGTTATACCTGCTGCTGTTATACCTGCCAAAGGATTTGTATGTCTGTCCAGTGGCGGAACTACCACCATAGCGACCCTTGCGACCGCTATGGGGCCCGGGACAGAGGGGGGCCCCGGTCAGGAGCAGGGCTGAGGTACTCCTTTTCCCCCTCCCTCCCCCGCACACCGAGCCCGACAAGAAGTCAGTGGTGAAAGCAGCAGAGAAGACAGCGACTGCAGTCCCCTGCAGCAACCTCTAACAGGGACGTGCGGACAGGGGAGGCAGGTGAGGCTCCTCCCTGTCTCCTCCCTTCCTCCTCCCCACACAGCTTGGTTACCAAGCTGGTGGTGGAGCTTTGGAGGGATGGGGTGGAGCTATGGCGGGCTGGGGAATGCCTCACCCAGCACAGAAAGCACGGCGCGTCATTGACCTTTAAACACCACCCCACCACCCCACCCCCCGAGCCCGGCCAGAAGTCAGCAGAGAAGACAACTGCAGGGGTCCACTTGTGTTCATAGGAAAGGGAGATGCATGCCGCCAGACGCTGTTCCCGGTTCAAATCCTTGCACCAGCCCTGCATGGGCGCACACACCTGAATCATGGCAGGTTATTGGTTGTAGTCTCTACACTGCTACATCAATGAAAGTTGGGGAGCGGGGAATTATCATTTGTAACCCCACTGTCCCCAGATTCACTGGTATGGCAGTGTGATTT